AAAATAATATATAAATAATGACAGTAAATTTTGGCACAGAGAGAAAAAGCAAGACGGAATGGGACACAAGAGTAAACTTTAAAGACTCTCTGATGGACTGCAGCAGGTTATGGAACCTCACCATCTGCCCCAGTTCAGCCTCACCTCAAGCCTTTTAAATCATCAGCCCCGTCCTACGTCACCACTCCCACCAGCTCTGTCCAGGCTCCACAGCTGGGGGGTCAGCAGCCCGAACAAGCACATGGGGCCTCAGCGGCCTGAATGAGCACTCCAGAAGTCAGTGCCCGAAGCTGGCACCCAGAGACCTCAGAGCCCAGACCGGCACCTGGGGAGTTACAAGCCCCGAATCCACACCCAGGGACTCGGCACCCAGAGTCCGCACTCTGGGAGGGTAAGCCGCCCGAGCTGGCACCCGAGGCCTCAGTGCCCTGAGTCAGCACCGTAGGGGACAGCACTTAGAGATGGCACCCAGGGGGTTTAGCTCACTGAGCCAGCACCTGGGGGTTCAACAGCCCGAGTCAGCAGTATGGATAAACATATATAAAAATAATATATAAATAATGCCAGTAAATTTTGCACAGAAAGAAAATGCAACAGGGAACTAGGCACAGGAGTAATACTTAAAGACTCACTGTGAACTGGAACAAGACCTGGATCCTCACCAACTGCTCCAGCCCAGCCTCACCTGCAGCCTTTTAAATGATCCGTGGCTAGTCTAGGTAGTACCAATAATTGCTATTTTCAAGGCAAAAACGTGAACTGCCAAAGCTAACCCTTTGTCAAATAAAAGCAAGAAATGACACATCATGTTATCTTTCAAACAATTTTTTTACTGCAAGTTCTTTGCAAATATTTGTATAGTCATTACAAAAAATACCAAAGAAAATTTCAGTCTCTTCAACTGCAAAAAAATAAATAGCTTTAGTCTAAAGCAGACAATTTTCTAGTATTAAGGTCAGCAACATCAGTCACAGAAGTCCACATTCTCAGAGTGCTGAGTATCAGGTCCATCTAACTTAGTTGGCCTTCTTACAGCATTTTCCTTTAAAATAAGACTAATTAGAACAAGAGAAAAGTAACTTTTTGTCCTCCCACAGAAAACTGAACATTCAACATAGGTCTTGAAAAAACAGACCCCATTGCTAAATGAATTGTTAGACCCCTCTGACATAGAACTTTAAGAGTAAAATCTTTTTCTTTTTTTTTAAACAACTGTAACAGAGCAGTTTCCCACAAAACGTAAGAGTCGACAGCAGAAGCATGAAGGGCACGTTTCCTGGCTATAAGGCTATTAAAGCACAGAACTGCCGAAGCCAAGGGTATTACAATCAATGTCAGACCGAGCCCACAGCCTCCGCTCAGGCAAATCCTCACTCCTCAGCCTAGACCCCACAGGCATAACCAGGATTTGCCACCCATGTTAGAATTCCTGAGTGAACCAGGTGTAGGATCAGGTACTGCACACTGCAACACACCAACTGCTGCACAAATTTGGTTTTAGAGTGACTGTCATTCTAGACATGCTTAAATACTGCTCTGAAGTTGACTGTGCTGCTTTCACATCAGCACCACTGACACTATAGTGAACTTGCAGCTATACACTGTAAACACAGGAAACCTTTAGAAAAATGCATAAAAGTATTAACCATGTACAGTAAAAGCCATAATGAGAAAGTCTGGCACACCAGTTATTTCACAAGAAGAAAAATCTTTGGGCTATAGTGATATATGCCATAAAATGTTCCAAGTACATCCCACAGTATATGGCTCAAATGAGGAATCAGCAAACGAGCAAATAACTAGCATTTGCAAAAATGTTTTAAACAAAAAGGGGGCTCCAGAACACAAGAGCAGATGAGGAAAAAAAAGCTTTTCTGAACTTCTCCAGTGAACCACTCCACCTTATAATATACATATAATGACAGATTTCAGGCAAAAATTAAGTCTCTGAAGTGTTTTGCACAGTGTATGTACTTCTCCTAAAGCTGGCTTAAATCAATACTAAGGAGAATTAAAAATTAAAAAAAAACAAAAACAAAAAAAAAAACAAAAAAAAAACAAAAAACAAAACAAAACATTTAAATGTTACTTCCATCACTGTGCTCTGTCTGGTCTCACTAGGTCCGACACTGAATGGACAATTCACACCAGCTCAGGGGATGTTACAGTTTTCTCATTGTATCACCTCCCTCTCTTCCCCACTCTGACTGACCAAGTTCAAATGCTACACCAAGCCTGAATCTTTGGCCATGTCATAGAAAATGCCTTTTTCCTGAAGTAGGTGGTCTGGGCTGTCACACTCCACCACTTCACCTCTGTCCAGGACTAAAACTCTGTAAAACAAGAGGAAAAAAACCAGTCACAAGAAGATCCAGAAAGATGAGGGACGTATGTATTTGTACAGATAGAAATTGACTGTAGCATGGCAAATATGTGCAAGTGAAGACAGTCCAGACTGTGCGAATGGACAGAAGGTCTCACCTCTGTCCTTCCTGACCTCATTGCAGATGGTCTGCCTGGTCTATTCTTGAGGCATTTACCCAGTCATTTGCAGGCAGCCATGAGACTTCTTACCGTGCTGTGAGCCAACCAGAAACTGGAGAGCAGCACTTCTTGCCAAGGTGAGTGAGAGCCCCTTAGACCTTGCAAGACCTGGGATAACCTTCCCATAGAACTGCCCCACATGAACTGATGTTACACAGCTTCTGCTGACAAAATACAAACCCAGACACAGCTTATGCTAAACAAATGTACAGCTGGAAAAGAGGAAGTTTACAAAGCAAGTTGCCAGTCAGTAAAGTCAGCTCACAGTTAAAACACTGCCTTCAGCTACCTCCACTAGTTGGCCAAGCACTGCAGAGATGCTAACTAAGCCCTTGGCGGGTGCTGCTGCACGGTGTTACTGCTGCCGTGGCCGAATTGGGTGTCACCCGGTGACTGTACTGCTGGCACTGGGCCCGATGCAGGCAATGCTCCTGGCTCCTGTCTTTCACTACTGACAGCACAAAGAGAGGTCCACAGAAGTACACAAAAAAGTCTTATCACTGGTCACTTTGCTCTCTGCCAGTCTGTGATAAAAAGGACCGGAGAGCTTAAAACTGAAATTACGAGACAAAAACTCTGCTCTCAACCACACCTTAACAAAGCAGCTAAGGATGAGAGAGGCTGTATGAACTATAACCAGAAATTATGGAAAGAAACATCAAATAAACTTCATATAGGCACAGGACCTGCCCTTTGATTCCTTAGGCACCGTCTGTGCCTAGTTTAGGGTGTGAAGTTCTGTAAAGCTCTGACGCCTCTTCCATGCCTAAATTACGGCAAGACCCAGGAATAGACTCCTATCCTCACCTCCCTCCCTTTCCTGGTTTCCCTGGGCAGGAATGGCACAACAGCAATGCAATAGAGGGATCCGAGGAGCTCCCCAGGCCAAGCACAGCCACCACAAGCCAGAACACATACAACAAAACAGGGATTCCAGCAGCTCTGCAGAACGGTGGCTAAAAATGCACTGGTAAACATTTAGCTAACACAAAAATGCTCGTTTCAGTGAAGTAAAATGCATGTCAAGAATGGCATTCTTCACGATAAAAGTGGTATTTACCTTGTGTAGTCCATGATTGTGTTCAGACGATGTGCTATAGTTAACACAGTGCATTCTTCAAATTGAGACTTTATTGTTGACTGTATAAGCTTATCTGTTTCAAGATCAACAGCAGCTGTGGCTTCATCTAGAACCAGGATTTTGGACTTCCTGAGCAGAGCTCGTGCCAGGCACACCAGCTGGCGCTGTCCCACGCTGCACAGGTGGAACGGGGAGGGTGGGGAAAAGTCAGAACAAGTGGCAGTATTTATTTTGAAGCCCAGAATTCCTTGTAAGAACTCCTTTAAAGCACAGGTGCCAAGAATCCAGCAAAATAGTTAAGGTCAGCTTTAGTACTTCGCTAGAGAGTATCAAACAGCATCTGAAACCACATCTTCCTCACAATGAAATCTTGGCAATGTAATTAGAGAATACACTACGGACAATTTCATCATAACTGCATCAGGCTGATTCACTGAATCGATGTAGTGCTGAGGACTGGACTTTAATTCCATACACTAAACACATATCCCTGTTATGGTGCAAAAACCAAGCTAACAACTCCCTTAGAAAAACTGCATCTGTTGTGCAAGAGCCGTGGTGAGTTCACAGCACCTGCTATAAGCTCCTTTCCAAGACTGCCCAAGCTGTCAAAACCCTGCAGCATTCCGAGTATTTCTTAAACTATATTAAATTCCCAAACTTGGGAGTTTAAAACATGCTGAACAAAACCTAGTTGGTTGATTGCCTGCCTGGTCATGCATTAAGAATTTCCCAACTCCCTTCCCAAATTCTCTTATAGGGCAGCAGAGGGGGAGCCTCACACAGCATTGCTGTTGCTAGTGTCTACCTACATACCTGTCTCCAGTGAGCTGCAAGGTTTCTGGAAGTGGAATGTCTAGTTGCAGATGGGAGGGCACTCATGCCTCTCTCAGTTCTCATTTAGTTCTTAAAACAAATTTCAAAAGCATGGTTCTTTGACATACCTGAGGTTCTCTCCACCTTCAGCACACTCATGATTAAGTTTATCAGGAAGGGATGATACAAAGTTTTTCAGGTGAGCCAATTCCAAAGACCTCCAAATGTCTTCATCAGAGTGTTGGTCAAAAGGATCAAGATTCATACGCAGAGAGCCAGAAAACAGTATTGGATCCTAGTCATAGAAAGAGGTGAAGGACAATGTATGCAGAACACAGCAAGTGCTCCAAAAATGTATCTTCATAGAATCATAGAATGATTTGGGTTGGAAGGGACCTTAAAGAGCATCTAGTCCAACCCCTGCCATGGACAGGGACACCTTCTTGGATAGTGAAAGGAAAGCAGTATGTCCAGATGCAGTTGCGAGCAAGCTAATCTACTGAATTTAGAAGGGAGACCTCCCTTTCTCCAACAACAGCAAGTTATTCTCCCTCATCCTTATTCCTCTTGGGGGCCTGACCACTGTCCTCTGCAGCCTCTGGCACTCTAGACCTTTCCATGAGTCAGTAACTCATGAATCCAGAAGAAAAACAGAAACAAAAACCCCACAAACCAAAACAAATCCAAAAAACACCAACCAAACAAAAGAAACCCATCCAAATTTCTTTTTACTGAGCTACTAAATTAAAGAACAGGCACTCCCTGCCTAACCTTCTGTCAGCAGGGACCACCGAGTGAACTTTCCACTTAGGGAATTAGGGTCTGTCTTCTGCTGCAGTATTTATGAAATGAATGCATTTTTTTTCTTGGACACAGAGAAATACTACTTTGGAAATACTTCTGATCTAGCAGTATCACACTGATCCAGAGTGATCAAAAGGAGAAAACAAAGTTTCCCTCTGTCACAAGGGGGCTCAATTTTTGGAATGCACTCAAGGACACGTTTTCTTTATCATTGGAGCCAACTTAGTAATTGGAGCTGAAACATCCTGGTACATTTTGAAGGACTGCAGATAGACTGGGAGACACTGGTTGATAAGGGAATTCAAGGAATTAATAAATAAAGTTAAAAACCAAGAGCTGTAAGAGTGCCTCTTCAGACCCACCAGAGACCACCAAAAGACCCCTGTACGCAAGCACAGTTGATTCAAGAATGATTAAGCAAATATTTAAATGCATTATTATTATATTTAAATTGCAGCCAATCATTGTAATATTGTATTGCAAAACCCTGAAACTTTTGTGTATAAACATGCCAAGAAAAGTGACCATACTTGTGTGAGCTTGGATGGAATAAATAATGCCCCTCGCATCCGACATCAAAAAAAGTAACACCTGCTTCTTAATGCTACATTGGTGTTAGGAGGTTTTTTTTCTTTTTCTGGCACCTCCAGATTTCCAAAAGAAGTGGTGCAGAAAACCTTTTACAGTGTGCTCACTTCGCCAGCTTGCTGCAACAGTGATTTATATGAATGCATTTTATGGTCTTACTTTGAAGCAGAACAGGCAGGCAATAAAGGCTACAGAGTAAGAACAAGAAGATTTGAGACTTCAAAATCCAGTGCTTGTAAAGCTGTATTTCCAAACATTTTGGACTATCAAACCCTCAGTTGCTGGACTAGACGAGGATGGCTATGTACAAGTTTCTGTGAGTGAACAGCACTGCATACCTTGCTCACACGAACCTGTCAAAGTCAGAATGCTTTGTACAAAGGCCTAAAGAGTGCACATCAGACCTGAAAGAGCAACACAAACCCCTAATTCCTCCCAACTAGATTATGCAGTACCTTCATTTCATTTCTAGAATGGAACTACCTAAAACCAAAGTGGAAACCAATCTCTAGAAAAACTCCCTAAGTGGAAATACTCAGACTGTACTTCTCTGCTGGCCAAAAGAGCAATGATGCCAGTTATCAAAGAGGCATTCAGCTGGGGTCAGACCTCCCCACTCAGGTGTACCTGTCTATAGCACCAAACTGATCAGCACAGGGTGCTGACAAAGACCACGTGTCCAAAGGCAAAGGTTTTGTTTCCACATCACAACTCGGCCATAGCCAAGCTCCTACTTCTTACCCAGCACAAGCCAAACAAAGCCAGACTAGGAAAAAAGCTTGGTTTCAAGCCCATGAAAGAGTATGGTACGAGTACCATGAAATGAGTTCTCGTAATGGCAGGATTTTGCACCTACCTGAGGGATGATGGTGATCTTGAACCGCAAATCATGGAGCCCAATCTTTGCAATATTAATTCCATCAATAATAATTTCTCCTTCAGCTGCTTCATTAATTCGAAACAAACCTAAAGTAAGGGAGGATTTTCCAGCTCCTGTTCTTCCAACTATTCCTATCTGTTGGGAAGAAACAGAGGAACAACTTACTGCTGGGGAAGAGTTAAAGCATTTCCAAGCATCTACCTGACACTGATCAGAAAGTTGTCATATTTGCTGGACTATCAACACCCCAAAACAGCGTAACAAATTGAGACTGATCAAAGGGGAAAAAAAAATCACTGGATATGAAATAACAAGAACAAAAATGCAGTCTCAAAATTTGTAAACCAATCACTGAAGTTTTCCATTTTTCTAGAAAGGAAGATGAAATTGGGTAGAGCAGGCCAAAGTTTCCCTAACTCTTCCTTTGGTTCATGCTTCACAGTTATAATTACTGACTTGACACTTATATTGTTTTAATTTATAGCAAAAACATACCAGAAGTGTTCAGTTTCATACCATACGTTTTGCTTCCCAGTTAGACTGAAATCTTCATCAATTCTTTTATATTTATTTAAAAAACAAAAAATAGATTGCTACTTTGGTGGTTTGGTGTATCTCTTCCCATCTGCCCTTTCTAACCACTCTCAAGGTAGTGTTCTGCCCATATTTGTAGGTAGAAAGCATGCACTCAGGGAAAAAAACAAATGCCTATCACAAATAAGGAAGGCTGACAGTGTATCTGTCTTCCAGCTTTTATGCTACCATACAAGTATTACTAGAGATCTGAGAACCCACACAGGACTGGGGCAGGATGCATGAGTGCACGCACAAGGAAGCGGCAGGACAGACACACACGTATCACTGCAAGTTTGGTCAGATCCAGAGAAACTACTCTGAAGTTCCATTCTTTCCTGCAGTGTCTCAACTTGCAACTCCCACCTCACTAGGTCTCAGCTTTCCCCCTCTACTTGGAAACTCACTTTCTTGAGACTATAATTGACTTAATCTCTCTGCAACCTGTACTCCCCTTTGCTTAGGGCAAACAAATCAGCAAAATTTCTTGGGAAGTGGACAGATGACAGCATAAACATTACTTCCTTCTGAAACCAGACCAAAAGATACTTCACAAGCCCACATAATAGTGTATCTTTATCCCATGATGCAGGACACACCTTGAAAAGGACAAGTGCTTAGTACATCTGCCAGTTAAGACCAATTCTACAGAAGCTCTTAAGGACCCAACAGAGACTACAGAACAGGGTTAGACCTCTGTTTGGCTTATGCATGCAGACCTATAAACAGTAACACTACTACAGATTCAGATTCATTACCTTTTCACCTCCATTTATGGTAACATTTATGTTTTTCAGAACCAAATCCAAGTCTTCTCGGTAACGTAAACCATAGCCTCGAAACTCAACCTTCCCTTCCTCAGGCCAGGTACTCGCTGGAGCGGTTTCTTCAATACTCCATTCAGCCTGAAAGAACCACACAAACATATCTGATCAGTTCCTCCTTCAACTGGACGTGGGCTCAGAGGACTTGGGGAAAGCGACTACGAAAAATCATTGTTAGTGTGTCGTTTGCAAAAGGAACTGCGATGGTGGTGGGAAGAGAGGTAAAGAGTTGATCAAGGCATGCGAAAAGGTACACGTATCACAGAATCCCAGAGTGTCAGGAGTTGGAAGGGACCTGGAAAGCTCCCCCAGTGCAACCCCTGCCAGAGCAGGATCACCAGAGCAGTCACACAGGAACACGGCCAGGGCTTTGGGTGTCTGCAGAGAAGGAGACTTCACAACCTCTCTGGGCAGCCTGGGCCAGGGCTCTGGGCTTTGGTATCACAAAGATAAACTTGCTGGATAAACATTCCTCTTACAAATGGCATAACCACAGGTAGTTTGCATTCAGATAACCTGCTGCACGCTCCCATCACAGTAAGGAAACCATCGAGGAAGTCAGACATACAACCAGAAGTGGTAAAACAGACATAGGCACTGAGATTAACAAGCTGGTAAACAGCTGCCACCTCAGCCTCCCACAGTGGTGGGAGAGGTGAGAACACATCCCACTGCATTCACTGCCCATGCCAGACAAAAAGGCTTTTAACTGTAAAAACACTGGTTTGCTACCAGAACCCGAGAAAAAAAATCTAGGAAGGGTCCTCATTAGGTTTGGCTGCAAAAATAGCGACTCAAGTCAGGTTCAAGTGACAGGCACGGCAAAGAGAAGCCACAGGGAATTCTGTTCTGTAGCCAAAAGGGGCACAACTGCAGATGAAATGAGTTGTTAGATGATCTGAATCAAAATAGAAAAAGTAACTCCTATTTATTCCCCACACTGAGAGCAAAAAGAGAAACACAAAATAAAAAAATGCTGTTCAACCACTTAGGAAACCAAAACATTTGTACAGCCCTGCTGCTTAGCCCAGGGCAGAACAGCACAATTCCTGACTAACACTGTGTAAGTATCAGTGGATACACTTAAAGAGCACCCACAGGATCTACCTGCTAGGATACCCTCTGCCTCCGAGGGAGGGCACTGACAGAGTTCAGATCTATCCCAACCCTCAGCTCAAAGGACAGGCCTCACTGCACTCTTCAATCCATTCAGCCAGGCTGTGGGTGAGACAGAAGGTGTGGTTAACAGCTCATTGTACCTCCTTCTCCATTTCAGCGTATTCTTTCACTCTTTCTACAGCAACAATGTTGGCTTCCAGCTCAGACGACATGCGAACTAGCCAGTTCAAGTATGCTGTAATCTGCAAGGAGAAAAGTCTAGAAGCAGTTTACACTAAATATGTTGCTTGCAATAAATAAAACACACTAAACAACCAAAGCACTGCAAGTTCATGGAATGCATAAACAAAGACAAGATCTTGGCTTGCCAGTGCTGGACAGAACAGTCCAGATGCCTCTAGTATGCATAGGTGAGTTGTTTTAGTCACACAGGCAAGGCACAGAAGGAACTTCCCAGCATCTTTCAGATGCTATTTGTAGGTAGCATTCTTTTTCTATGTTCCTAAATATTAGTTTTCCCTCCAAAGCCATAACAAGGTTCTGACTTTCTGATGCAGACTTACAATTCAGAGCTTTTTTTTTAAAAAAAAAAAGGTTACATTACCTGCAGTGAGTAGGACACTGAGAGGCCAACCAGTCCTGCACTGAGTTTGTCGCGTGCCATCACTGCAAACAACGCTGCAAAGAGAACAATGCAGTTCCCCACATACTCCAGACGGACAGCCAGCCACCTGCAAGACAGAAATGCATCGTTTCAGTAATCCACCCACAGAGAATCAGGAACGTGGCCAACCAATGTTCTGTTACACCTCTTCTTTTTGGAAAGATTAGTAATATGGCATCTGCGTACTGCCAATGACACAGAAACCACAAGATATTTGAAGTTCTGCCTAGAGGCATCCAAAATTAAGAAACCTTTCAGGTACATAAATTCCTATCTCAGTTCAGAAAGCAGCTGTAGTTAACACTGGGATCAATGAATTAAAGCTTTTTAAAAAAATATTACCCAGAAGTAAGGCAGGAACTCTCAGAAAGAAAAAAATTCTCAAGTAATCTTCATTCCATCACAGAAATTTAAGCAAAACATCTGTGAAACAGATATATCCACATAGGCTTCTCTACCCTGGATAAGTATGCTGAGACTTGTGATTTCTAAGGAGCACAGAAAGCAGAACCATGCCCTCTATGTAACTGGCTTTCAGCGTATCAATCCCACTGTTACCTGTTTGCAACAATGCTTGGATAATAAGCTTTCTGATTTTCATCCACTTTCATGTCATTGTGCTTTATGAAACGCTTCTGCTCCTCAAAGGCTCGAATGACACTGACTCCCAGCAGAGTCTCATTGAAGTGAGAATATACAGGAGAACGACTGACAGACTCAAGGCGTTTGAGCTGACGAGAAGTGGCCACATAAAATCTCTGCAAATCAGAGTATGAGAATTATGGTTACATCTATAACTGGAATATATTGCTCCAGCTTGCTGGAGCACAGGAGGTTCAAGCTGAAGATGAGAACAAACTTTGTCAGTGTGAGGGTGCCAGAGCACGGCCCAGGCTGCCCAGAGAGGTTGTGGAGTCTCCTTCTGTGGATACACCCAAAGCCCTGGCCGTGTTCCTGTGTGACTGCTCTGGTGATCCTGCTCTGGCAGGGCTTGCACTGAGTGATATTTCAAGATCCCTTCCAACTCCTCACATTCTGTGATTTTGTGATCTAGACTGCATCTGAAAAGACAAAGGGCTGAGAGAGTTCTCTGCCATTTGGGCTGTTAGTCACAGAGATTCAACTTACACACCTTCTCCAGCACTTTCAGGCCTGAAAAGACATACGCTCTGTTGACTTTAAACAACTCTCAACCAAACCATGTCATGCAATAGCCATTTTCTCCTCTTTCTCTTTTCTGCAAATTCAGTTCAACAGTAAAAAACATACACAGCACAGCCTGTAAGGTTTAGGAACAGGCCCTGACAGATTCACTAATTCAAGAGTCAAAGTCAAAACCCAGCTTCTTCACTCCAATCTATACTGTCTCTACTAGATTTCTAAGAGTAAAGCAAGAGCAAAGCAAGCGCACTCAGCCTGCACAAGACAGGAGTGAAAGCCTAACTGATTTCTCTTGCTCTGTAAACAACAGTCTGATGAACATGGACATCAGCACTGCACACAGCCCCTTCTAAAGGCTACTCTTTTGTTTGGAAGGAAGTTTTAGAAGGAAGTTCAGCCTATACGTTTGGGCTATTTAGGCTCTAGGCAGCAAGCTACACAAAATTTGACTCAAAATGTAATGGCATTTTTATAAAGTCTGTTTAGGTATTAAAGGACGACCTTCTGCACAAAGTCATTCTACACTTGACAATGGAAGGAGATGCTCTGCTAACATCAGTTAATCAATAAACCATGCAAAGCATAGTCAGTCAAGTGTGACTGAAGTCAAACACCTTAAAATCCATCCTAGCAGAGAGTAAGAACTGTCTTAAATGACAGAGGATGAGCGACTGCTGGTCCCGGTGCCCCAGGTAATACCTCTTACCTGCACAAACAAGTAGACAAGTCCCAGAGGTGGAATAATGGCAGCGGCTATAGGTGAGGCCAGCAGAATGATGATACAAGCCCCAATCACATTAAATGTTGAGCCCATGAACATCTTGATGATTGGTGGAATGGTGGAGTCAATGGTATCTATCTCCTTAGAGAAACGGTTCACCAGATTTCCACTAGGTGTACGTTCAAAGAAACTCATTGGAGACCTGAGGACATTGTGCAGCAGGTTGAGATGCAGATGTCGTGAAGCAAATATTCCCCCTATTGACACAACCATCGAGTAGCCAAACACAGCAATACCTAGAAAAGAAGATTTGTTTTTAGCTGCTTCCACCTCTCACACAAAACATTTTCCTCATTTTGTCATCATTTAGCATTAGCATGTCTCTAGCACAATAATCCTGAGAATTGAGGTTCACCACAAGTAAACTCGGCAAATACACAAAGTAATTAAAAAAAATAAAATCAGCAAAAACATCTCATTTCTCTCATGGAAGAAACTGTTTCTCTATTACAAAATTTTGTGTAATAATTGAGCACTTTGAGTAAAGACCACTGAATTTTAACGTGGCATTTACCTTTTACGCAGGATTTCTACGGCAATTCTGAAGTGCGAGTGTTAGGTCTCATGGCAAACAAACTTTGATGACAATGAGGGTACATAAAAAGCCGCTGAGCTGGCCTCCCCACATGCCCATTCATGTACCATCAGGCACGCAGAGAAAACACCAGCCTCAGCAGCTCAGCCAGGTCATGGCTGCAGGGGGGCAGCTTAGCCACCCCCTCCTGTGAAAACCTGGCCCTGTAAACCAGGCTAGCACAGTTTGGTGACGGGCCAAGGAGCCATTTCTTGGGTTAGGCATTTTATCACCAACTGCTGGCTCATCAGCCCCTGCAAAATACTTCTGTTCTAGTTTTGTACAAACAAAAGAAAACCATATTCACTAACTGAATAATTTTACAGGTTAGTTTCCTTGCCTTTTTTTTGTTATTATTCTAGTTTTTAATCTTTCTACAAAACCCACACTCAAATCCTTAGCAAATTGCTGCTGCAGTTCTGGGGATACAAGGCAACCCAAGGCAATAGAAACATTCTAAACCAGCTAATCTTAAAATTGGTGAGACAAAGCAAACCTTGAGAAATCCCCAGTGCTCCATACACCCCCAGTCTGACATTTGTGTACTGCTGTGTCCCATTGATAACAGGATCATCCGTCCATAAACTTAGCCAGTAGTTGGAAGCCAGGGAGGCTATATGATTACACATAAAAAGGAAAATACTCAAAAAAGAGATAAAGAGTCCAATTGCTTTCATATAGTCCCAGTACACTGTTGCCTTCACCTGAAAACAGAAGGAAAAAAAAAATCATTTTGCAGATTAAGTTTCAAATCAGCAATTCCCCCCTTCTTCAACCAATATTTGAAGACAGTACCCCTGCATCAGGCCACGAAAACATAACACTCTAGAGAGCCGTTGCTTGGGAACACAAGTTCTGTGGAGATGTGCCACCCAACAGCCCTCCAGGGCACGCACACATTGTCTTTCCCTTGTTCTTCCAAGGGAAGGGTAGGGAGACAGCTGCCCGAAATAACACAGAGCAGCAGTGGCAGAGCCAAAAACTTCACTGAGGAGTTCCAGGTTTTGACTCTCTCTTTTTACCACAAAATTATATAGCCTTTAATTAAATCCTTGCTCCACAAGGCTTGTATAGTAGGATTTATCTTTAATGAGACGATTCAAACAACACTGTTAGGAGGTGTAACTGCCGTTTTCCCAGGAACCTCATGCTCAGGTTTCTCAGAAAGTCCTGGGTATCATGGGATTAGATACTTGTGTCTACAGTGGAAACTTAAATTCATCTGAGTCAATTCCAGTTCCTTACGCTTAAGGGCAGATTTCATTAGGTCACCTAATTTGTCACAACCTCTCTTCAAGAAATAGCTACAAGGTTTTCATTTTTTCTTTTAAACTTTGATGTGGTCAGGCCCATCATCTTAAACAAAAGTTTTGCTGCCAGCACTCTTTCTGCACGCAAACCTGGGTCTCAGCTTTGGGAGCAGTGGGCACAGCAACACTTCCATGAAGTACTACACAACAAGCACCTAGTCCAAGAATCCATTCAGACCTTTCTCATCTCAGTTACATAGTCTTTGGAAGCTATTTTCTTCTGAACCCTGTGGATTATAAGGACAGGGTGAGAAAGTTGGGATTGTTCAGCTTGGAGAAGGCTGCGGGGAGGCCTTATAGCAGCCTTCCAGTACCTGAAAAGGGCTTACAAGAAAGCTGGGGCTCTGAGCAACCTAATCTAGTGAAAAATGTCCCTGCTCACTGCAGGCGGTTGGACTAGATGACCTCTAAAGGTCCCTTCCAAGGGACCAACACACTCTATGATTGTGTGATTTTTCCGAAACTGAGTGTGAATGCAGGTATCAGGAACAGGAGACCTTACCCTGCCAGTCTTCACCGTGTCAGCCTCCATCAGTTTCCAGTTCTTCTCAGCAAGTGGCTTCTGCAGCTCTGCTGTGCTGCTCTGGTGCTGTGACTTCCCGTTGTCTCTGCTGTATGTTGAAGAGTTGCTGAGTTGCCTGTTTGAAGGAATTTATTTATAGTCTTAGCATGATAAAGGACAAGAGTTAACCTCATAAATAGACTTCAACAGTCCACCACTTCAAATCAGTGGCTACATTACTCTGGTGATAATCTACCTCTTAACCTGTCATCATCAGGCCAGTCATCACTAGTGCTTCCCTTCTCCCCTCACAGTGCACTCCTAATTCTTCCTGATGGCATTCAGTTCTCAAGTATCTGTCTTCAGATACAGTAACAGGGTAGCCAGTCAAAAGCAGTGTTGGTTGAGCCATCAAACTCCCAGAAGAAAAATGGTGATCATCAACATCAACCGTTACAAAACCTATCATCACATACAGTGCAGCTGCTGAAGTGAAAAAGGGGTACCCACAGCAGCATCAAAATAGGCAATTGTATTCACTGGCACTCAGCTTCCAGAAATACAGCATCTCTAGAACACCGTAAGAATGAGGCATAGACTATGAGATTGCTTTTGGGCTGGTTTAATCAGAGTGACTGCCTGTGGCCTCCCTCAAGCATAATTACGACTGCCCCAGTTAAGACAAAAAAAGAAGGTAATCGTTGTACGTGATTCCTTTCTTAGGGGACTAGAGGATCCAATGTGCTGACCAGACCCATCCCACAGGGAAGTCTGCTGCCTCCCTGGGTTAGACACATTACCAGGAAACTCCCTGGTCTGGTACAGCCCAACCGCTGTTGGTTGTACAGGTTGGTAGTGATGGGGTTGAACAGCAAAGTCCAAAGGCGATCAAAAAGGACTTCAGGACACTGAAGCAATTGGTTGAAGGACTGGGAGCACAGGGAGTGTTTTCCTCAATCTCTTCAGTGGCAGGGAAGAATACTGGTAGGAACCAGAAAACACACCAGATCAACACATGGGTCAGAGGATGATGCCATCAGTGGAATTCTGGGGTTTTTTTATCTTGGGGAGGTTTATACAGCACCAAGCCTTCTGGTGACCAATGCAATTCAACTTTCTCAAAGGGGTAAAAGGATCCTTGCTCATGAGTTGGCAGGGCTCATCAATAAGGCTTATAAACTGGGTTTGAAGGGGGAAGGGGATAATACCAGGCTCACTAGAGACGAGCCAAGGGGTAGCAGGCCAGTGTTGGGAGTGAAATCAATAACCCAACTCAAGTGCATCTACACCAATACACGCAGTACGGGCAATAAGCAGGAGGCACTGGAAACCACTGTGCAGCAGGATAGCTATGGCCTAGTTGCCATCACAGAAACATGGTGGGATGGCTCTCACAACTGGAGTGCTTCAATGGATGGCTACAAGCTCTTCAGAAAGGATAGGCAAGGAAGGAGAGGCAGTGGGCTGGCTTTGTGTGTTAGGTAGTGTTTTGATTGTGTAGAGCTCATGGGTAAAGATGAGAGGGAAGGCTAAGGAGGCTGATATCCTGCTGGGAGTCTGTTATAGACCACCCAACCAGGATGAAGAGGCAGATAAAGCATTCTACAAGCAGCTAAGAGAACTCTCACAATCACTAGCCCTTGTTCTTGTGGGGGACTTCAACTTACCAGATGCCTGCTGGGAATACTACACAGCAGTGAGGAAACTGTCTAGGAGGTTCCTGGAGTGCATGCAAGATAAGTTCCTGACACACCTGGTAAGTGAGCCTACTAGGGGAGGTGCCTTGCTTCACTTGCTGTTCACAAACAGAGAAGAACTGGTGTGAGATGTGGTGGTCGGACGACAGGTTGGGCTTAGCAACCATGAAATGATAAGAGTTGTCGATTCTTGGTGAAGTAAGGAGAGGGGTTAGCAAAACCACCACCACAGACTTCTGGAGGGCAGACTTTGGCCTATTCAGTACACTGGTAGAGACAGTCCCTTGGGAGACAGTCCTGAAGGGCAAAGGGGCCCAGGAAAGGTGGAAGAAGGAAGCAGGCTGCCCCCATGTGCCCTAAGATTGAAGCAGCGGTGAGGATGACCAGCTTAGCTGAGCAGGGAGCTTTTGCTGAAACTCGGGGGGTTAGCGCGGGGGGGGGGGGGGAAAGGGAGAGTATATCACTATTTGAAGAAGGAGCAGGCAACACAAGAAGAGTACAGGGATCTTGTTAGGTCATACAGAGAGAAAATTAGGAAAGCAAAAGCCCAGCTAGAACTCAGTCTGGCCACCGCCATAAGAGATAACAAACAATGTTTTTACAGGTACATTAACAACGGAAAGAGAGCCAAGGAGAATCTCCATTCTTTAGTGGATGCAATGGAGACAATTGTCACCAACGACAAGGAAAAGGTTGAGG